AGAACACTTGATACATTATATTTAAATGAGAATCAGCATGGGTTTTGGTCAATAAATAGCACGGGGACTAGAGGCAAATTGATTGAGTTCTGGCTTTGTTACTCCTAAACTGTGTGACCTTGAATAGTGTACAATGGGGATAATAATAGTACTTACTCCATATACTTTTTCTGAGGTATAAAGACAATAAATGCATAATTATTACGTAGAACTGTGCTTACCGCATAAGGTTATTTAAGCATTTGTAAAATAAATGTTACCCTTTTGCTGGGTTATACTTTACCAGTGGGTTGTTGCATTGTAAATACATGGATTCTGGATATTTGAAAACAAAAATAGAAAAGTGAGCACTTCCAAATAAAAACCAGATTATTTTCTTTTAAGCTTACAATTTGATCTTTGCAGTAAGTAATTCTGGTGAATTGGAGTGGTGACTTCAAAGGTAGTTATACATGATACTTATAAGTTAACTGCTCTATCTAGGCACCTTCAGTAATGTAAATGTTTTAATTTTTTATGAAAGAGAAAAACACCTCCCCTAATAAATCTTTGGCATTTTTGTGAACATTAATTAAAATATATTGCTTTCTTAGTGCGTCAGAATTGATTTCATAAATTAAAAAACCAAAGGAAGATAGAAGTTCAGTAATTAAATGAACTATTTTTGATATATCAAACTGGAGAAAAGAGTAACAAAATTTCTGTGTTTTGGTTTTGCTTCTCAGTTTATTATGTGTTTGAAATAAACATTTTGTAGAATACAATAATAATGGAGAGTCATTTCATGTAATAGCACATTCTTTATGATGCAATAAAGGTTATGTGATGATGTAAGACTACGCAATTTTAAAACTAGAAATAATTTCTACTCTGTTCCAATAACTGCAGATTTTTGACTTAGGGATCCTAGAAGGTTTGATCATTTGTGGTGTTCATATACTTATAACTACCTAGACATATTCTTAGTTTTGAAAAATTTGTACTTCCCTTTTACTAGTTCATTCACTTTTTTTGAAGTTGTAAATTCTCTTACTTATTTGCCTAACTTGCATTTATTATACTAATTCTTGTATCTTGTGATAAATGCAATTTAAATATATAGAAATAAGTGCAATTTAATTTCAGCTAGATATATAGGCTCAGTCATTTACATAGAGTTTTTAACCACCCATCTTTAGAAGATCCATTAATTTCCCCTTTTTTGATAGATAGAATAATTAATGGGGGTTATTTTGTTATGGATTTTTCATTGATTAACTCCATATATATTTGGGTGCAATGACAGTTGTTCCAACATCTAGATCATAAAAAAAAGGTAGTGATATTCATATTAACTTGTAAGCAAATGTTTCCTATTTTTGATTTTTTTTTCTTGTTCACTTACATCATTCTTTTATGCTCAATTCTCCCTTTTTTATTTAAAAAATAACTTAGTTCTATTATCCCTCATACAGAATTGGGTAAGTGTTTTTGCCTAATCTGGTCAGAAGCTTATTGCACTAATACTTGAGAAATATCTCTAGAAGAAGAAATCAAATCTTTCTTAAATGTATGGGGGAAGGGGAGACATTTTTCTTGTCCTACCATTAAGCACGTGTCTTGGAACATATGAGTAGTTTACTAAATATTTACTGAATAAATGAATGTTATTCCAGTGAAATAAATCATTAATGTTTTTCTTAGTCTATTTCTTCCCTAGCAGTCTTTAGGCAACAGTTGAAACTTAAAATATAATAGAGTTTTTACCTTCCACCTATGATGGAATTGTTTGTCACATACTGAAAGCTGATGCCAAGAATAGAGAAATAAAAAAAAATAAAAATAAAAAAAAACAGAAAAAAGAAAATCTGTGTGATGGCATTGGAGAGACAATGGGGAACCAGGACCCCTCCTCCTTGACATACTGGACTTTAATTTTTGTCTCATGAGCACCACAAGATTGTTTTAAATTCAGCTATGCTTACAGTGGTCATCTATAATATTTTATACCTCAGAATTATTCCTGAACAGATTAATAATTCAGCAAATATTTTTAGAGGAAAATTGAAGAACATTGGAACCATTTCTTACATCTCTTTCTATTTTAGATCACGACCCTGCACTTCTTGGATGACTTGCTTGCTTCTATTGTATTGTTGTCTTTTTCGTTAATGTATGCTGTCATCTTTAGTATTTCCCTCTTTCTACATTGGTGAGGGAGTTAGTTGTCTAGCTCTTAGTTTTTGAAATAAATACTTAGATAAGTGATTATTGACCTTTCATTTATAATCAACTCAAATATCACTTCTGGCAATAGTAGTTTTTATTTTTTCACAATTTCATTTCCACTGGCAAATTCCTTCCATAGATTAACTATTTTTGTAAAATGTCACATGGGTTTATCACTGGGTGACTAGGGGACAATGCAACTAGATACCTTGAGTCTGTGCTTAAACTGAGTAACAGATGCATGGTGACCGATCATTGATAGACTTGGAGAGAAGCAGTATGTGTGTCACTGATCATCATGTACATCTCTCATTTGTGTAGTGATTTGTGGACTGAAGAGCTAGTAAAGTTTATACTGTATATAATTACAGTTGATATTCCATGCTCACTGAAATGTGAATCATGTTTTTGGTGATTTCTGGTGTTATTTAAGTAAACCATGTAGCTGACATTCGTGCATATGAGAACCATGTAAAGTAAACCTTGAATATATATATTCAATCTAGTTGTTACCAGGAAAATATAAATTAAAGCTACAATATGATATCACTCTAAACTTATAGGAATAAGCGTGGTAGGCAGAATTCAAAGATGAGACACGACTTTTGCTCTTGTATAATTGCTTCCACTGGGAACATGATAGGGCTTTACTACTGTAATTATGTTATGTAGCATGGCAAAAGGGATTTTGCAGATGTAATTAGGATTATTAATCAGTTGACTTTGAGGTAATCAAAAAGGTAATTTAACCTAATCTAACCTAATCACGTGAGTCCTTTAAATCAGAGAATTATTTTCCCCAGTGGGTGCCAAAAGAAGAAATTAGACAGTTTTGAAGCATGAGAGGTCCTCAAAAAGAGGGGTGTTTCCACTGCTGAGACAGATAGGCCATTGGCCTGAGAGTAGCTTCTAGGACCTCAGAGTGGTGCCTGGCCAATAGCCAGCAAGGCAAAGGAAACCTATGTCCCACTAGAGAACAAAACTAAATTTTGCTAATAACCTCAATGAGCTCAGTAGATTCTTCACCCATAGCCTTTAGATAAGAGCACCACCTGCCTGCCAACTTGACAATGGCTTTTGATATAGTAATCAGAGAACATAATTGAACCTACCTAGACTTTTACTGTACAGAACTATGAGATAATAAATGAATGTTGCTTAAGCTGTTAAATTTGTGTCAATTTGTTTTGCAGCAATAAAAATTAATATAATATTAAAATTAAAAAAATTGACTAAACCAACTGTTGGTACAAAAGTAGAACTGAAACTCTACTGTTTGGCACTATCTACTAAAGCTGAACATACAACATATGAACATACCTTAAGAGTATTTTATAAGTATTTTTCCAATATACAAATAACTCTATTTGTGCACACACACAAAAAATAGGTACAAGAAAGCTTATAGACTTTTTGAAATAGCCCCAGACCAAAAACAAGCCAAGTGTCCATCACCAATAAAATGCATAGGTGTGTGTGTGTGTGTGTGTGTGTTTGTATATACTGATGATGCCAACAAAAAATGTATAGAAGTGGACACTTTGATCAATGTTGCTCAAGCAGCAGTTCACCATAATCAGAAGTGTCTGGACACTGATGGTAACAGCTTTGAGTACCTCTTGTAATGCAGAAGTCAAATGTGACTTATATTAATCTTTTTTATCAGTATATATTGAGTATTACAATTTTAATAGATTTTTCCTTTCTTAAAATGTGTATACATTTTTTGGCACCCTCTGTATATATAGTGATATATTCATTCATTGGCAAGCTACACAGTTATAAAAATGAACAAACTGCTGCACATGAATGAGTCTTACAAACATGAATTAAATAAGCCACACATAAAAGAGTACACCCACAAAAAATATGATGTCATTTATATACATGTTAGAGATAGACAAAGTAATCTGCAGTTATTTATGTAATTTATTGGAAGCTACAATAATGATTGGCAAGGGGTACCACAGAGAGTTTTAGGATGCTAGTAATGCCTTGTTTATCTTGATGCTGGTTAAACAGATGTATTCATGTTGCAAAGATTAATTTAAGTATGTATGATTTCTGCATTTCTCATCCTTCAATGAAAAAATTATTCAAGTTTATTGGGGTGATGATGATTAGTAAAAATATACTATAGGTTTCAAGTGTATAGTTCTGAAATACATCATCTATATATCACAATGTGTGTTCACCACCCAGAGTCAGTTCTCCTTCCATCACTATATATTTGATCCTGTTTACCCTCATCTACCACCCTCCTCCTCTGGTAACCACTAAACTTTTGTCTGTGTCTATGAGTTTTTGTTTCTTTATTTGTTTGTCTTGTTCCTTTGTTGCTTTCAGTTTTATATTCCACATATCAGTGAAATCATATGGTTCTCGACTTTTTCTGTATGACTCACTTCGCTTAGCATAACAATGTCAAGATCCATTCACGTTGTCGCAAATGGCACTATTTCATCTTCTCATATGGCTGAATAGTCTTTCATTTTGTATATATACCACATTTTTTAATGAAGGCTATAAAATGTTGGCAACACCTTATGTACTGTGTGCCTTATGTACTGTGTGGCTTAAAAAAAGAAAAATTTCCTAAGGTCATACAACTAGTGAGTGGAAAGACTTAGCGTTTAAAATGATAATTAAGGATAATTTAATGATAATTAATCTTTTAGTTGAATTATCTCTTTCATTAGACTGAAAATAAAAAAAAAGAGAAAATGGGAAAGTGAGGGAGGTTGATAAATAATTTTGACATTCACAATTAATTCTTTAATAAAACAGTTTGCCGGGAGGATTCATACCACTCTATAGTCTCATGTGCTGCTGTAGTTCTCACTCCTATGGAATCAACAATAGAAATGAAGAAAAGAGAAGAGCTAAAACTTCCTGAACCTTCCAAACAGTAAGTTGTTCATTTTAATTTTTAGAGCTTTGTAAGACTAATTAGATTACCGATCAGAAATTGTGATTTATGAGTGTGTTAATACTAGTAATTGAGAGGGTAGAAATAAATTTTGTGCAACATTAAAAAAAAATCAATATGTTGTCTCATGAATAACTTCTGTGTCTTCTGAATTCATGTGTTTGAACTATATGCCATCCAAATTTCATTTTATTACGTTATCTTAGGAGCATGGGTAAGTGGTCTAAAGCACTTTATTTCCTTAACACTGATATTGTGGATGGATTGTTCTAGGATTGCTTATTTTATGGTTGTAGGCTTCAATGGTCTAAAATGTGATCAGCTTTTAATTTAAACTTGCTAGCCTAAATTTGGTTTGTATTTTTATAAAGAATGGACATTATTATTTTAAATAAATTATCCTAAACTAAAACTTGGTACTATTTGATTTTTCCATATTTTTGCTATTAACACAGATCAAACTTAATTTAAATTTTATCTTATAATGAATAAATGATAAATTTTATTTTCTTATGATGGCTAAAGAGAATTAAATGTATGCTAACAGATGTAAGATACAGTGAAAAGGGAAAACCTACTGATGATTTTCCAGTCAAAGTAGTGGCATAGCTGCTTTAAGGTTAGAGACTAAGAGATGTATGGTGTTGCCAAGGATTGCCAGCTGACCACCTCATGAAAGAGGTAGGAGTTACCTTGAAGCACTTGTTATTTTTCCCCATTGGATAACTTGTTTGTTTCTTAATGTCTTTCTGCTGAATAAGCTCCTGAAGACAGAATTCTCTGGAACAAGTGCCTGATACTCTTTGTGAAATCAATTAGCAAGCCCCCTAATGTTACATTCGATAATGTTGAATTCAAATGGAACAATGTATATATTTGATTGCATGAAGATATTATTAATATTCTCATTATAGAGAAGGGAAATACTAACCAATTCAGAAAGTAATGATTGTAATTCAATTTTAATAAATCTAAAAGTGAAAACAATTTAACTGCTCTTAGTATAGTCTAATTTTTAGGTTCCAAAAGCCATTTTTATCTAATAGGAAGAAAATTACATCTCATATATGCCAATTGAATTATATTTGAAAACTCAAATTATTTAGCTGCAGTATATATATATGAGTTTACATAAGTTACCTATATATTTGTAATTGGATTTTAAATGATTTTAATTATCTTTCAGTGACTCTGTTCAACACGGGTGAATACTGTTATTTGCTTACATAAATTGTATTTTTTCCAGTCTTTAGCTACTTCATAAATATTCAATCTTCTTCATTATATTATGAGATATATTTTAAAGCAGACAACATTTATTAACTGGCTGTACCTTTTCTTCCTGTTACCCTATATCCACTCTGATACTCCTCGGTGTTTTTTGAATCTACTTTCTTGTTTAAACATTCTTTCTCAACAATATCATTCATTTATTCATTTAGGCTTTGTTATTTTTGTTTTTCTGAGTCAGAGAGATGTTGGCTAAAATCTTATCTCTGCTACATATTAGATGAAAATTGGGGCATTTTATTTAAACTCCGTGCTTCCCTTTCCTCATCTGTTAATTGGTGTGACATCACCATCATTATAGGGTCATTGTGGGTATTATGTGATGTTATATTGGTAAATGANCCAGGATCAATCTCTGACACAATTTAGCATGAGGCCAGAAAGAGCATTCTTCATGTTTAATAATGTTTAACTGCCATTTGTTCTTTCTCAAGATGACAAAGAAAGGAGAAGATAAGTGAAGGGGAAGCTAAAGTATAGCCATTTGAAACATTGACCTGGGTTGCTTCTCTAAGAATTATACAAAGTTGGCATTTTTCTCATAGCTATCTTAGGTTTTTGCCAACTTACCAAAAAAATCACATCTTTCAAATTCCTTTAGCAACTTTATCATCCATTATTTAATAAGCACACTAATCTTGGCTTCTGCTTGCTAATATTTATACTTCCCATAGTAAACAACAAAGCTTTCATTACTACGATGTCATATTCTATGCTGCAGGTTGGAGACATGTTATTAATGACATTTTCTGATACTAATGTATTCATGTTTTATTTTCTGTTGTCACAAATATAGTATTGATAATCTAAGAAAGGAATATGAGTATATATAGACATATACACCACAATTTGAATATTAAAACTTCTATTTTATATACACGTAGTATTTGAAAAACACCCTTACCTAAAAGATGCAAAATTAGTCATTGATCTGTACAAATTATTTCTCATGTCAAAGGATTTAACTATTAACCAGTCACACTAAAGAGCTTTGCAAAGAGTGATATTTTCTCTGGGCACACATCAGTAGCCATTCAGAAATGGCGTTCAATGAACGCCTGAAGGAAAGTATGTGATTGCAGTAATTATCTCAAAATCTTATTGAGACACTTCACTTTACCCTCGAATATGAATTAAATTATGCTTGTGTCTTATGTAGATGTACATAATTTCTGGACATTTCAGTGATATAAAATGTAGACATGACTTCCATTCATCTAGGAAGACTAATGGGGCTTGAGGAAAGGAAGTGCTGTCACAAAGAAAATGTTCCTTCAGAATTAAAAGATTTGTTAGTAAACGATGAAAAGTTAGAGCCCTTTAGGTGAGGGAGACCTAGAGGAAATTAAAAGAGATTTGATATTGCTGTTATGGTTCCCTTTCTCCTCCTGCTTAAACGGCATGGTTCTCCTAGGGGAACATTGGGCTGTTACAGATACTTGTTATGCTTGATTGAATGCACAGACTGTTGCTATGTATCTTGACTTATTTGATTATGTGTCTCTAG